GCGGCTGCCAGCCTGGCCGGGGTTCACCCGGTCCAGGAATCTCCACGTATCTGATATGTCGGTGGGGCATCTGTCCCCTTTTCCTTGGGAGAGAAGCTCACGTTTCCATCAATAATTAAGTAAATAAACAGCCAGGAGAATTAACTACTCTGTCACAGACGACAGGAAAAAGCTTTCTGTGCATCTGACTCTTCCCCCAAGAGCCCGTTCTCTGCACAGGAGCAAATGCTAGCGAACAAAATGTGGTTCAATACTGGCCTCCTGTGGCCAGAGGGATTCATCGAATCTCTGGAAATCGCACATCCTCACACCTCTGGTCAGGAACGTTCCCTGGCTCTGCGCCGAGCGGCCTGTCCCTGTTTTCCGAATGCTGTTCGGCTGCCGGCTTTTTTTTTTTTTTTTTTATGGAAGCTCCCTAGCTAAGATGTGTTTTGATGAACCATCGTTTCGCAGGGCTCATCTGCTCATGTATATTAGGGTGAAAATAAACGAGAGCATAAAGGCTAAAGAATGCTACCCAACAGGACGATCTGACATCACCTCCCTGAACCAACTGCTCCACGCAGAGGCTCCCTGGCCTCTCGGTTCACGCAGAGTTTCTCTCTCCCGACACAGAGCTGGTTGCGGGGACAGGCGAGGGGTGCTAAGGACTCTGCTGTTTTGTGCGTCTGTGGTGAGTGTTTTGTTTCGGCCAAAGACTAGGAAAATACTTGCTATTACAGCAATAAATACCATGATTTCTTTTTTTTTTTTTTTTTTTAATTTTCCTACAAAAATGCTTCCTAAGAGAAAAACCAAACCAAATTACCGAGGAGTGTTGCTTTTCGCTACTCGCTTTCAAGGGCGGCTATAAACATAAAGGGTGACAATGATCGCGGCTTAAAGGCAGAACTGCCACGCTCCTTGGTAAGCCTGAATGGCACGTTTTGAGAACCCGGGAACCATGACGAGACTGCCACATCGCTGCCCCTTTCACAAATGGCCAACCCTCAATCTAGAATCCTTGGAGATGCTCAAAACATCATGAGCGACAAAAAACTAAGCAAACACTTCAAAATGGCACGAGGAGGGAAACGCGTCAAAGAAAGACCAAGCGTAGACAGTGGGCGTAACGATGCCGTGATGAAGAAACAGTACCCGCTGGCAAAAGGGGAGCAGCTTACAGTCGGGTGACTCCAGACAGGAGGGACAGGGCGGCTGCGAAGGGGGAGCAAACAAGGGACCTGCGCCTTCGTCACGCTCCCTTCTCTCTGGGCCCCACGCGAGGGAGGCCAACTCCTTCGAGCTACGTCCCCTCGGTTTTCCGCGATGCTCGGGGGTTTCACCTGCCTCTAGCCGGCACCTGAGAGAAAACACAGATCCTCTAGCGCTGAGCGTTCACCTGTCCTGAACACTGGTCATGAGGAAAGCGATCCTAATGGTAAATAGCATGTAACGACACTTTCTTTTTTTCAGAATTTTATTTCCTACAACTGAGAAAACCTGACTAAAAATCTTCTACAGAAAACTAACGTGATCTAACAGAAAACAGAGACTAAATACCCTGCTAGGCAATCAGTCTGCCTGTGCTTGGTTTAAATACTGAACTTTTATAGGAACTTATAGAAACGCTTCTTCAGAGAACAGTGGTACCAGCAAGAAAAAAAAAATATATATTTGAGTATAAATAGCACATGCAAAGCCAAAGATAACAAATACCGATTGAAAGCTAATAAAGAACAGTAGTAGAAAAATTCTATTTTAAATGACTGGCTTCTAAATGAGTTTGTGTCACACACTAAACATTCAACAAGTACACCAAGTTTTTTGTGTGCTTGTTTGTTTGTTTGTTTAGAAACAGTGACATTATTCACAATTTTACCAGAAATCTCCCTCATTTTTTTACTGAACTTTTAAAAATTAACTAGAGTAAAGCAAGTAAATTTAAATGAATGAGCACAAAAGGTGTTTTCTAAATTCGTCAAACTCAGCAGCAAGGACATATCTGCTTCCCTGGCTGTATTTTTTACCTCTCCCTCTCTTCCCCCAGGTACTCAACCTCGAAAGATTAGGGACGTTGACGTCCAGCAGATGTGGATTCGAATCCCAGCTCCATGGTTTAAAAATCTGTTCCCTCAAAAATAAAATCTCGCCCTCCCCGAGTCCTGGGTTCCCCACGTGAGTCTGGGAACGACACCACCTCACTCAGATCTCAGCTACGAGGCTTTCTCCTCCTCCACTTCACCTGGTTGCCAAGCCCTGCGGGGTTTTCTCCTTTCGCATCCTTCACTTTCCCTTGGACCCTGCTGACAACGTCTGCGTTCAGACCCTCTTCGCTTCTTGTCGCGATTACTGTGGTAATCGCCCACCTCGGCCTCTGTCCTCGGCCTCGACCCCCTCTAGTGCATCCTCACTGTCTCTAGGATGATTTTCCTCAAACGCAAAACTGCCTGAGTTTGAATTCTAGCTCTTTTACTAAACGTCTGTATGGCTTGGAACAAGTGACGTGAATTCCCCCATGCCATAACTCAAAATCCACAAAATGGGGGTGATAATGCCCCCACCTCGGAAGGCCATTATAAAAATTAAATAAGACCATGTGACTTCTCACACATAGAATTCACACACGATAAATGTGAGCTGCTATTCTTCTCTTCCTTGTTCTTGCTGGTCTTATAACCCTCCTGAGATTCACCATGCCTATTAAATAGGGTATCGTTACAATCGTGATATTTAAGACCTTTTCAGGTCTCTGCCTAACTCCCCATCGAAACTCATATCAGTCACCAAGTAGTAGGTTATGATATAGAATCACTAAACTGCATTCAACCCAGAATAAAAGTAATTCGGTTAGTAAAGGATTCAGAGAGCGATTAGGCTGTTTATACAACTGCCAATAAAACTCTAAGAAAGCTGTCCTCCTAAGACATGATTAGGCAGCCCGACTAAAACTGCTCTGAAAGGGTCCAGCGCCTTACCCTAAACATCGTTCTGCTTTTCCTCCTCCCAGTTCTCATGAAAATGCAATAATTATTCAAACTAGTAACTGTCCCACTTACATTTTTGAACTGTAAGAAGTGCATGGCATGCATGTACCCCTAGATGAGTTTTCTACACATGGCTTCTCGAAAAGGTCCTGAAGCTGCTTGAAAGGCTTACCTGACACTCTTCTAAACCACTTGGGTTTCTTGTCCCATACGATAAAGAGATAGTAGGCGGGGACCCCGGTCAGTGTGATGATGAAGCCGATCCCTGTACTGAATGGATCTGAATAAAGGGACAGGGCGACCATGAAGAGACACGTGAAAGAAAACAAAGCTGGGATGAACAGCGGCACCTGAAACACAGCACAGGGGGAAAAAATCACATAGTTAGAGACGGGCTGCGGTTGAAGGTGAGAACGTCGGTTCTCAGGAAATCGGGTGATACGCTTTGGTCACATGACCAGGTGACAGGCACCATGCTACCTTACCTTACTAGCAAAAACTCTTTCATGGGGGCACAGGGACTGTATTAAACATACTCCCTTAATTTTTAAAAAAATCTTTGGATAGAATAAAGCCTAAGGATAAATAAGTGTGCTTCCTTAGAGACGTCCCGTTTGAATTATCTCACTCGTTAAGCACCACTACGATTTCTGTTTTTGATTTTTAATAGACGAGCTCTTTGATAACCATGATTGGAATACACTTTAATGTAGAGCCAAGACCATGGGCTGCTGGTTACGTGTTAAATTCTTTCAGTGTGTATTGATTTCCTGTTGGAGGTTCACAATAAGAACCCACAGAAACACAACAGGCCCATTCCTATCTAACCACTAATAAGGACGTTGCTAGCACTAGGCGATGACTATAATTAGAAACAAATTCTGACAGCGTGGCTGACAATATTATCTGTGTTATTTCTTAAAAGCAAATAAAGAGTGAGGTCAAATCAATCTGCAAACATTGTGGGCTGACGGAGGGGAGAAGCATATTCTCCAGCCCTCCCGAAAGGAAAATGTGCCATCTATGAAGTGGTTAATTCAAACGTCTTCCCTTTCCCTGGAGTGTATAATGTAGAAAAAGAGCAATATAATAAGTCATAACCTTTAAAAATACTTAAAATGTGTATTTCGTATAGCAACATCTCTTCTAGAGTTTTTATTAGTGACGATTCCGCATGTATCGGCCTTACTCTTTCTCAGCATGGCTGCCCACAACTATCCAGCATATAGACAGATCAAAGTATTGCGTACTTCAGACTTAACAGGTCATTGGGCACATCCACGAGAAATCAACATAGCGAACATCCTGCTTCGATACCACCGCCTTCCAAAAAATGAGACATATTGAGTTCATGCAAAAAAAAAAAATGCAATGAACTATTTTTCCAAGCTAAAAGCAATCCAATACGAAGGCAGTATCTGCAAGTGCTACACATTTATGGCAGAGATGCTGCTCTCCGCCCCAGCTTCTCATCATCAGCTTATGACAAAAGGAGGGCCAGCTATTAGCAGAAAGATTCATGCAAACCCATCAAGACTGCTGAGGTTACCTTGAAAGGACGATGCATATCTGGGCGTTTGTAGCGAAGATAAATCAGCCCGGCGACTGCTAGCCCAATAAAAAGCCACCTGGCGAAACTGAGGAAACTCAAAAGACTGTAGAGGTCCCCACAGAAGAGCATGATTATCGTCAGAGGGTGCTGCGGGGAGGGAGGGGAAAAACCACGCTCGGTGAGTGAAAGAGAAGACAGATGATCACGAACGAGAACATCACTACGCATCGCCCTTATCTTTTTGAAAGGGTTATTTATACTGATCGACTACCACTGGGATTAACACCGATATCTGACTAACCTCCTTTCTATATTCTGCTCTTAAAAATCCCTTTACATCCCTATAATAGAACGAGAGAGGGCCATCGTCACTACCACTCATTCGGAAGGAATTTTATACGGATGTTTGGTCTTTGGTTGCTTTTGCATGTGAGAGAAGAGACTGAGCTTTCAAAGTCGTCCTCGATGATGGAAAATGGGAAGCCCCAGAGACGGAGAGGATTAGTAAATAACTCGTCATAACAATAAAAAATGCACCCTACTTGCAAGTTTGCAGAAAGCTCTGCCAATGGTGTTTGATGAGCTCTTGGCTGTGCACACACATGAAACATAGCCACTTCTAGGTGACTCTGTCATCCCTGGAATGCAAAACATTGACCTTTCCTTCCTCCACTCTCGCGGTCCCCGTGCACTGGCCCTGGGTGACCCTGAGACCACAGAAAAGAATGCAGGGCAGAGATGAGCGTAGCAAGCCCCTGCAGCTGCACACGCCAAGGGCAGCATGACTGAGAGCAGAGGCTTAAAACGAAAGCCCTCTTCACGGAATAATACATTCTGTTCCCACAAGTGACGCTTAACTTCCAGATTCCACGCAGAGAGCTCGCATACTTTACAAAAAAAAAAAAAATCTCAAGGAAACATTTTGAAACAAATTAAATGCACGGGAAAAAAAAATTCAATGAATTCTATGGTGCTCCTGACAGCAGATTCCATTTGAGAAAAATGTTACAAAATGGTAAGTAAAAGCGATATAACATTGCCAATGGGTATTTGAGGACTGTTACACCTTACAGTCTTTTGTATCCTACATTTCATAGATATTCTTCTCCGCATAAAGAATTCTACAGCTCAAATTTAAGTCTTAGTGCTTTTATTTCTTCTCTCTAGGGTTTCTCTCAAATGTCTCACTTGTAATCACAGAATCAGCATATTGTCTAGGATTTTATCTTTCCTATAATTCTGAGTGCATTTCATTACGAGGGGCCAAGATGAGATCTCTCAGACATTTTGGACTGTAGTTTTTGGCTCCACTTTCAGGAATTAGAATCGAGACTTATTACTATGCATCCTTTTCTGTGAGGCCCCCTATGTCAATGACAGCAGCCAAGCTAATCATTTTGCTTAGGCCTCAGAATTTCTACAAGGGTGAAAAAGAAAGTGATCCAGTTATTGCCCCCTAGCATCAAATATGCATCAGAAATACTGAATAAAGAGAAGCAGGGGAAAATATCCTGCACTCCCCGCCCCTCTCTCCCCTCCCCACCTCCATCTCCACTAAGATACACATAGAGCCAATTGTGCAAAGAATTCGAGAAAGCAAAGCACTATCTAAAGTCTGGTCTGAAATCCTCGTCGCTAACCCGCCATTCGAGGGTCTATCTAGATACGCTGGTTAATGTGCATTACCAAAACAATGACAGCTGGCAGAGGGGTGTGCTTGCGGACATGGATCATGGAGAGGATTTCCGGAAGGTGACCCTCTCGAGACGCAACATAGAATAACCTGATGGGAGAAAAATGTGGGTGGAGTTGACTGTATCATTGATCGAAAGGAAAACCCCAGAAATCTCAGAGAAAGCACGCATCTTTTTCATACCAAATGGTTTGACATTTCTTAGGTGATTACTTAGCTTTCACTTTTCAGATGAGGTAGAGAACATCATGAGAAACCTGACTTTGAATTCGGTAAAATCTGCCAACATATTATATTCTTCTTTGAAGAGAAACAACAGCGACGCTGGACTCGGCAGAGCTCTACCCTACTTCTAAATAGCTGATGGTGAATTTAGTTCAGGTTCCTTGTATTGTATGTGTATCCTATGCTATCCAATCACACACACACACACACACACACGCACGCGCGCACGCACGCACGCACATTGAAAATGAATAGAGAAAACCTCATTTAAAATGGCGTTGGAAGGCCTGAAGGGGGACCTCTCATGCACTCCCTCGCAGACCGCCCCCGCTGGAAAAAAGACATTTTCTCCTTTCCCAGCAACAACCCAGAACTCTCACTCTCCTCCAAAGGCCTTTCACACCGAAGCACCCTCCCCCGCTCTCCTCTATGAAAGTGAACCCCTGTCCTTCGTCCCCTGGACTCGCCTACGGTTTCGCCACAGTTTGCGTGTCCCGAACTGTAATCCCTCTGCTATTCCGGAATAAACTCATCTCTCTGGTAAATAACTGGCTATTTCACTTTGAGGGTGATGACCCATAGAACATTCATATGTATCTGATTGGGTTTTTAACCTGATATTAAAATAAAAGGGAATTTTCACCAAACAAAACAAAAGGGATACAGATGGTGGGTGGTGATTTCTGGTGTCTCTTACTTTACTTTTTTTTTTTCTTGTCACCTTTAGAGAAACAAAAGATTTTATCGCCAGAAATAAAATGCTGTTGTTAGACTGTAGACATCCTATTAAAAAATGCCACCTGTCCAGCTTCAGACTGGGCTATGCGTAGAGGAGCAGCGCCCTCTAGTGGGCAGAATAAGACACGCTGTTGATCCTTGGACGAAGCCTTCAATCTCGTGTGCCCCTTTAAAAACA